TGATGTTGTATGGAGCCCCCAGAGTGCGACGAAGCAAACTGTTGCTACCGCCTTGTAGATGGAAGACATTGTGACCAAAAGAGAGAAAGGGGAGCCAGACGTGAATTCGTTTTTACTTTTTTATTGAAAGGAGGAGATGTGTAGGAAAGAAGGCAAGGAAGGCTGAGTTCACCGCCTGGTCCTTGAGCCGCACGAACAACACGAACACCGGCTCCACTGGTCCTTCAACAAGAGCCGACAGCACGTGGAGCTCCTCCTCAATTACCGGGAGATCAAAAGAAAGAGAAGTTGCAAATAAGAGTTAAAGTTAGTGACATGAAGGTAAAGTGAAGATCCATCAGAAAGCATTCCGGGGTTAAAGTGTTGCGTACGTCTGCTCTGATGGCTCCTCCCGGGGGAAACCGTTGGGACCGAAACTGAGACCGAGTGTCCAGCGCGAAGCATCCACCCCCGAAATATACAAACCGCTTACACAACGGAGAATATTAGATACATTTATAAGGAAATTACTTCAACTGATGCATTTTGTCGACTAAGAAAGGGAACCCGTACATGTTGCTCGCCCGGAACCTGAAGGTGGTTGCACGCCCCATTACATGAATGTACAGGGCTTAATAAAGTGCATGCATTAACAATATGCTTTGAGCATATATATCCAAAGTGAAGATGAGCAGTAAGGGAAATACTTCCAGTGTAAACTTGTGTGGGACATTTTTGCATGCTCAACATCGATTTGTGATCCCTGTTGTTTGTAGATCTTTCAGAAAGCGTTACAACAAGCCACCAACACCTCTTGAGCATCTTGGGCTTCATACAGCATATGTCCCCCGATTTGTTGATATCCTCCCTTATTGTCTTGCATCTGTCCCTCATGTTTTTCTATATCGTAGGCTTGTTTATGCGTGTAATAGGCACGCAGGTAGGCACAGCCAGCGGCAGACGGGCAGAGCGGTGCTAAAATACTGACTACATATAAGCGTTTAGTATTGCAAGAGGGAGAAATAAAGCAACAAATGCAACTTTTTGTGAGAAGGGGAACCGGCATCTGGATCACGTCAAGAATGGCAGGCGACGCGTGGGGTGCTAAAGTGAAATTTCAGTTTTGCACAGTATAAGAAAATATGTCGCACGTGGTCCCGCTATATTGTTTTCTCCGTATATTTCATAGCCTCTGACGTGCTGCAAATAATTATCTGAAGACAGTTAATAAGTGGAGCACGTCAGAGGCTATGAAACATACGGAGAAAACAATATAGCGATTCAAATGAACAGTTCAAATAATTATCTGAA